GAGGGGCAGATCTCCTGTCGTCAGCGGCAATTAGTTGTCCTCGTTAGGCAGAGGTTGACTTCCTGCTCTGCTGCCATGCATGACGCCCAGGGTAACGGTTTCTCCTGCCTGAATCCTGATAATCCTTTATAAATAATGCATTAAATGTTTTTCTACTCCCGACCGCTGTCGGATGCTGCTACCGGCCTGGGCCTCGGCTTTCATTTAATTCAATTTGCATAAAAGTGCTTGCCATTTTATTAACCCACTAAACGTAATTTAGTGCCCAGGCATAGCCCTCAACCGTGCGGCGTGCTATTCCTTGCCAATTTCTTGGACCTTATCCTTGGGAAACTCTGGTTCCCTGGAGAGCTCCCCCGGTGGCTCGTCCCCTCCAACTATCGAGAGTCCGCCCAGCTCCAGCAGAGCTCTTGTTGATTCTGCTGGCCGACCTTGTGCCTAGTCAAGCGTTAAGTGGACCTTTTTGTGGTAGATGGGTTTTGGCCAAATACTGAGAACGAACAGTAGGCGGATGAAGTACCCACAGCAACGGGAATTATTTTTTGAGCCTGTCGCTGCAGTTTCTTGGCCCAGGATTCCTTCTGTTTTCTGCCGGGGATTTATTAAAAAATACGAATTCAGCCATGGAGCTGACCAAGCTAAAGCACTTAATGTGCCGACTTAATGCCACAATTGGGAGGGTGGAGTGGAAGGCTGCTAAGAGGTTTATGAGTAAAGTGTTGGATGGAGGGACGGACCATCTAATTGAATGGGTATCATATCATATCAATATGATTACTTGGAAGTTTAGCGATAAACATGTGAAAGAAAACTGAAGACAGATCGTACAACGAGCCAAGTAAAATCGCAGCGAAGTTTCCAGTAGTCCAGCGGGAATTTCCACGTTTCAATACCCCAAATGCTCATCGAAATTACTGTGAAAACCTAAACCAGAATGCTCCTCACATTTCGAATTCCGCTCAACGTTTTCCCATTAGCAAAAGTTTTCTTTTGTCTTTGGCCAACATCTGTTTGGGCCATAATTAAAGCATTTTTAATGGCCATCAAGGATGACCTTCGGGCTAAATCTACTACTGACACAGTACATAAATACTCGTACATATATAATTTTAGGTTAATTACGCAAAATAATCATATTTTTTGTTGGCTGCCGTTGCAGGCGGCAAGTAGTCAGGCCTGAGCCTGACCAACACGACCAGAGCAGGGGCAGTGTGTGGGCAGTGCCTTTTGGCTTCCACTTTGACCTGCTTTTGTTATCATAAAATGCTGCCACAGACGCCACTGCCACATGTGTGTGGGGGGGTGGGGAACCGGGCCTGTGTGTGTGTGGAAAGTTTCGGCACATTAAATGAAATTTAATTCCTGCCATCATAAGCAGCCCGGGACATGCCTGTACAGCGACTGGACAAGCCAGAAGAACAGCAGAGAGTCGTAAGAGGGGGGCTGGGGAAGAGCCGCCAAAAACTAAAGCCAATGTTTCTGGTTTTGGTTCTGCTTTGGCAAGGCCTCCTTGCGTCATGTTGGCCTGCCCGCATCCTTCTAGTCCAGACCAGACCAGGCCCGGCCGGCGCAGGCCAAAGCCCATGCACACACGTAACGCCTCTGGTACGTGGCCTGGGCCTGTGTTTAAATGTTATTTAACGCTGCCCCAAAAGTGTCATGGCTGCCAGCCTGCTTGACACTGGGTTCTCCCTCTCTGTGTGCATGTGGGTGTGGCACACTCATAAAGTGCCGCACAGTTGTTGCAAAATTTGTGGCCATTCTTCGTTCTGCACTGACCATTTCACTCCACTTCTCATCTCTCCCATGATTCCCATCTTGTTTGCCAATCTTTAAAGTGGATCCTGTGACTCCTCAACGAACTTTTGCACAGGACCCCTGTCAAATTATGAATACCCTCTGCGATGGCAGTGAAATTTCACGCTCATCTGACTAAATGGTTTTATAGGTTTTGATATTTGCTCATTTGTTGATCCGCTTCGTTCCCGGAATTTTCTATTAATATTGTTGTAGTAGTTGTTGAAATTTATGAGGCGGTCAGTTTCGGTTTGCCAGACCCAAATTCCATGCTTCGTTATCCTTTGTTTCCCAGCCTTTTTTCCTTTTTTTTTCGCCCCCAATCACACGCGGGGGATGGGATGGGGTGCTTTTTGTGTCTGCGTTGGCAGAATCTTTTTTGTTGGCTTTGATATGTTAATCATATTTTATGTTTTATATTTTGCGCTTCAGCCATTTGATTGCTCGCTCTGACGAAGGCATTTGTCTGCTGTCCAAAAGGGCGTGAAATCGGTTAGAGTCTGTGCTGCAAGAGGAATGGGGTGACGTAGAGAGGCTTTGGGGACAAGTCAAGAAATAAATTTACCAATAAAGAAGGTCAGAAATTAGCGTATATGCAAGAGCTTTCTTTTTCCTTAGACATTGAAAGAGAGCGGGAAGAGTGGAAATAGTTTTCGTAGGAATTAGGAATTACACTTTATAGAGCGAATTTTTGCAAGCAACTAAACCACTCATATAATCATCCAATTATGTTATTCATATGATATAATCAAGGCATAAAAGGCAACATTTTTATAACCTAATCCTTCGTTTTGATGTCGCTCAAGTGCCATAGAGAACATCTCCGGTTGGTATGACATTGAGGCCAGTTTATAGCTTAACCCCAATGCCATTTGTGCGCCTCGTCCACGCTGTGTCTGCAGGGCGCCCCACGGGGGCGTATGCGCAATATTTCAGTTGCCTTTAGCCCAGCCCAACCATCATCGGCCATGCCCATCATCATCAACTGACCTCGTCTTCATCTCCATCATCATATTCACAACTTAACGTCCACTTTTCCGTCAAACAGGCCGTAAAGTGGCATTTCCGTTGTCGTTCGTTCGTTCATTCGTTTGCCGTTTGCCGGCTGCCTGTTTGTATCCAGCATAAAATTAAATTATTTGTTGCAATTGCCGTCTCACTCTCACTGTCTCCAGCCCAAGGCTCGGTGAGGCTCGGCATCGCTTCACTTCCTCTTGCAGCCACCGCCGCCGTCACCCTACAAAAGCCAACGAGGCATGCAGCAAAGTGCTAAGCCATGAGAAAGTGTGCACTTGAAGCAGCAACAGCTCCAGCCGCCCCCGTGCACTTTTCCACGGCCCTGACCACGCCGCACACCCACATCCACACTCGGAGAAGGAGAAAGGGTGCAGGAGGATCGCAGGGGTCGTTGCGACACATTATTATACTTTGAGCGTCGCCGAAATCAGGCAAAACTTTGCACGGCTCCTCCTTAAACTCCGCCTGTCATAACAACAAGCAAGAAGGACCACCCGCATCTGGAGAACAAGTTGATGGAGAGAGGCGAAAGAGGATCACAGTTTCCCATGAGCTGCTCTTTTCAACTGCAGCTTCCCTATCCCCTACTCCCTACCCAGCCACTGCATTCGGTTCACCCCTTTGGGATTCATTTCGTTTCATTCATTTATTCGTCGTTCGCTGCTTTCATTCATTTTGAACTTTCGACGATTTAATTCAGCTTTCGAGCTGCCTTTCTGTTCTGAAGTTCTCTGTTTCTCTGTTGCTTTTGTACTGTCTCCATTTATCTGCTTCTCTGTAGCTATTGCTCTCTCTTTTTCGGTCTGGTCTCTATGTCTGGCAAACGCCTTTAGCCCCCGCAAACAAATAGTGGCACAAAAATCGCTGAAGTGGGAGGGATATAGGGGGAGATACACTTGCAGAAATAATTGATCCAGTGGCAAACTCTAACCAGCGCTAGCTGAAGATAAATACAGCCAAAACTTTGACCTATCAAATTAATAAATTACCTGCAGCACACAAACTTCACATGATATTCGATGTACTCGCACCAGAGTGGCAATAATACATTTCAGAATCTGAACCTCTGGCATAAATTGCACTGTGTCTGTGTCTGCTCTTTTTCTGACCTCACCTGGTCGCCTGGCCAGCGCCACGATTGCAATCTCCACTGCTCATTTGCATTTTTAATGAAACCATAAAAACGAAGCAACGTCAGGTGCAGGGGAAACACGGTTCAAGACCCAACTGGCCAAAAGTATATGGAGAAGCTGCAAATTATGAGCCAAAGGCAAGGATATCCCTTCCCAAAACTTTACACACACTCCACTTGTGCCGCCAATTGCTGGCTGTGCAGAATAAATTCGAGCGAACGTATCCCTTGCCAGACCAAATCCCAACTGTCAACAGTTTGTCGCTTATCGCGCGGCTTGGAAATGTTCTCGGTGTAACCAATAAATGTTTCAACATCATTTACATTTCGGTGGCAGTCTTATCCTCCGAGCATTGGAAATGGAATTTACCCTTCGAGACGGCTTCAATCATTTTCGGGCTCTGGCCCTCGGCCTGAGGTCAGCAGCAGCAATTGTTGCGGTTAGAGTCTGGGACAAACAACACTCGTAGATTTATGTGACCGCAAAACTTTGCTTCACAGCATAAATTAATGTTTAATTGATGAATTTATATGACAAGCGGCAGATTCTTTGCTTATCTTGTCAGCATTGCATCAATGTTTGTAGGAAATACTGTCAACTGGGGGTAAAAATGATGTGGGGCCCTTGAGTATTTGCTTGGAGTTTATTTTAGCTTATCTAAAGACTTTTAAGTGTTCCCAAGTTCCCAAAGAGAAGAGACTATTTCCACAATTCGCACACATCGCAGACAGGCAACATTTCAAATGAACTGCTTGGTGCATAATTTTAAATTTTCACGGCTGGACGGCTTTACAGCACACTGCTTAACGACAGCGTGCAAGCAAGCAGTTCAAGTGTAGAAAACGTAAACATGTAAGATAAAATAGTTCCATAATTGAGCGCTGCACTGCGCCAGTGTGTCTGCCTAATTTCTACATTAACATTGAAGTTACATTACATTTATTCAAATATACGCGCCAAGTCTTCAACTAGTGGAAATTCCGAAAAACATTGTCTATAGCTGAGGAACAACAATCTTTCCCATATTTTTATCGCACTTTCTTGCACTTTGCTTCGATTTATTTAACTAAAGTTCATAATTTTGTCAATATTTACAATAATTTGTCAGTCGGAATCATCTGTTGGTTCATTTTCTCTAGTCAGTTCTGTTACCACCACTTGCTGCTCTTGTCCTGCCACTTGCTGTTGATCTCCTGCTGGACATCCGCATAGCTGGTGGCATGACCATGGCCGTGAGAGTAGCCATGATCCTGCTGCTTGTGCTCAAAATTGTCGGCATGTCCGAGGTGCTTGACTGTGGCCTGGAATCCGTTGTGGTCATCGGCTGTGTACTCTACGACGCGGGTGCGGCCATCGGCTTCCTTCATGGTGTAACCTCCCTTGACCTTGTCGCCATCCCGGGTCTCCCACTGCTGCTTGATGTCTCCGGTCTTGGTGTCCTTGACGCCGTAATCGAATTGGTATTTTGGATGGTGCTTCGGCTCCTCCTCGTGGTATGAAGACCACTTGCCGTGCTCCTCTGGAGCTGCTGCTGCCCATTGATGGTGTGCCTGTGGTGCTGCCTCCCAGTGGTTGTACTGCTGCTGAGGAGCTGCCTCCCAGTGGTGGCCGTACTGAGGTGCCGCCGCCCATTGATGCTGCTCCTGATGATCGTGCCACTTCTTTGGCGCCTCGTGGTGCGTTTGAATGCTGTATCCAACTGCATGTCCGTGCTCATAGCCGCCATGGGGAATGTAGCTAGCAGCGGCTACTCCCAGCAGGGCACAGAGGATCGTTAGCTTTTGGGCCATTTTAGATGATATTTTGATTTGTTTTGCCTGTTTGAATGACTTGCTTGGCCCAGATGGCAATTGGAACTGTGATGCCCAACATACGCTCCCCAATGCTTTTATACCTAGTTTTCGGCCCATTCTATCAGTCCATTAATTACACTCTACTCTCGAGGCTAAATAGGCTAGAAAAAAATAAGTGAGAGCCCCAAAAAAATGGATCGAAAAATGCCTCAAATATTTGTGCAAATTTTCATTTTTCCTCATTCGTATTCATAATCTGGGCGATTGGCAAATTAATTGTGGCTCACTCAGCAACAGCAACAACAACCATAAACGGGGCGTGAACATCGCCCAACTATAAAAAGCGCAATGCTTGCTGTTGTTGTTGTTGCTAATGTTGTTGCTTAGAAATCAATCAACAAGTGTGGCCCGCTTTCAAATTAGTATTAAGCCAAGCCAAGCCAAGCCTCGCCTCGCTGCGTTTCTTTGCTTGCTGCCTGTCTGCCTGCCCCATCGACTTCACTACATCGTGACCTTGAGACAGCCAACCGACCAGGGTGGCGGGAAAAGAATGAGTGTGGCAGAGAAGGGCGGACTGGCCGAGTCAGCAGTCAGCGGATCGACCTGGGGGGTCCAATGCTTCCGAATTGGGTGCTAACGCGGTAACTAGTGGTTAATGTTTTCTAAATATTTATGATTCATACTGACTATGCGCGAGGGTCATTGTTACCAAATTATGAAATAAGCGATCGCTTTCCTAGAACGGCTAGAATTACATTTTTCGAGGCATAAAAAGGTTTAAATATTGCAGAGAATTGTGTAACGAATACTAGAGTTATAAACCTGGCGAATATAGAAGGGATCTATAAAAACTAAACTTAAATCAAAAATATAATGGATTTAAAAATTAAAATCACATCATAATGGTTTCAAGAACAATTGTTCCTATGGTAAGGCTTGATCTGTGTTCATCCCATCATGTGTAGAGCATCCAATTTGTATTTTAAATAGTTTTTAATAATTCTAATACAATACTTTTCTGTTTGATATTTTATTACCAATCCAAAATGGAATGCAAGAGCAACGAACTTTACTCACACCATTTATTTCCGACAGTTCTGTTCAATGGCCAATAACAATAATGGTAGATAATTATGAATTAGTAAAGTAATTAATAAATTTGCCAACACGAATAGTGAATGGCTTAGCCAAGAGAATGACCACCCGATGGTTTCTTTGGGTTTGTGGCTATAAAAACCAGCAGAGAACCCACCAAGAATATGCAGACCTCATCAAAGTTTCGACAACAACGATCAAAATGAAATATTTCTGCTCTGCTCTGGTGCTGGGCATGTTTGCGGTTGGCAGTCTGGCAGCTCCCTATGGAGGACACACGACCAGCTACAGTGTGGTGACCAAGCACGAGGAGCCGGTGCACAAGGGTCATGGATACGGCTACGATCACGACGTGATCAGTGCGTATGGAGGCGTCTACGGGCACGGGTATCCCAGCCATGGCTATGCCGGCTACGAGAAACACGAACCTCACCATTATCCCAAATATCATTTCGATTATGGAGTCAAGGATGCCCATACTGGTGACCAGAAGAGCCAGTGGGAGACGCGTGATGGCGACAAGGTCAAGGGCAGCTACTCTCTGAAGGAAGCCGATGGCACGACCCGCGTGGTGGAGTACACAGCAGACGATCACAACGGCTTCAATGCAGTTGTCAAGAAGCTAGGCCACGCCTATCATCCTCAAGTCTACCAGAAGGGCTACGGGCAGGGCAGCATCTATGGAGCCGGCTACGGCTACGGACATGATGTGGCGCAATATGGCGGCTATGGACACGGCGGACACGGCGGACACGGCCATGCCAGCAGCTATGTGAGCGTGAAGCAACTGCACTGATTGACGGAACCGATACGCAAACAATGGAACAACATACGAGTACATATTTCTATTATCTGACCCAGAACAAGCTCTTTATACACATACAGTATTTTTTATTGAAATACATAAGCAACAAGTTTTAATAGCCGACAAAGCACTATCAGCTGCAAAATTTCATTTCTACCCCTCAAAATTTGATTTTAAAACCGAAAATCTGAAGGAAAGCTCTCCATGATAAGCCAGTAATCCGGTCGGGTTTTAGTCCGCCTGGGAAAATTTCGCCATGCTGTGGCAAATGGCCCGATCAAAGCTTCACCACCATTGATCAAATGCTATGTTATAGTCGCTCCGACTTGATTTTAATACGGATAACTAGGATTAACAGGCAGAGCAGAGACACATTCGCAGAGCAAATGGCCATTAATTTATGTAAAGTCGAAACGTAATGCTGGCAGATATAAATTTTATAATGCCATTAGACAGCTGCAGCGAAGCGTTGACGACGACAACCTGGTAACGGCAATAGCAACAGCCACAGCAACGGCATCGACGACTTTTACTTGCCGCTGAGGCTGCTGCTGCTGCTGAAACCAAAAGTTGAGACGGCCAAATTGGTGTGGCACGGAATGAAATGAAATGGAAGCCGGGCCAGGCCGGGCGGCCAGTCAGGGAGCTAGTGGTGATAGCGAAACGGGTTTCCTCCGCACCGGAGAGGCTCGGAGAGCTTCAAATAATTGTCAATTAGACTGGGCTTAGGAAGCGACAAAGCCGACCCACACTGCAGCATCCACACTGCAGCTGCTGCAGCGCATCGCTGTTTTTTTGTTGCACGTCTCTCTGGAAGTGGAACCGGTGAAGCCGGAAAATCTTGTCGCCGGGAAAACGAAACCGAAGCTTTGTGCCGGTCCTGACTTCGTCTTCATCTATAAATACTTTTGCAATGCCGCGCAAACGCTTTAATTACGGTTTTGTCCTTGACATTGAGACTACGACGAGGAGCAGCAGCAGCACCAGCGGCAGACACAGCAGTCGAGCGACTGCAGCGCGTTTTCCCAGCGTTTTTAAACGCCCAGTGAATGTGTGCAAGTGTTTTTTTAAATAATATACAAATTGAGGAAATTATTAAATAAAATGAGACTTTATGTAAGTTTTGGGTCAAACAATTTTCAAGAAAAGGTAGCGTTGCTATTGACGAAAAAATAAATATCAAGCGAAAGTTAAGCAAACAAAAACTTTCACTTTTGAGTGAAAGTCGTGCAAATGTCCACGAATGCAAATGCACAAAAATAAAGACAATAATGCAATGAGGAAGCCATAGGAATACCAAAAATAAACGGAAGAAACACGAATAAGAATCAGTTGGAAATTAAATTTCAATTTTTCAAAAACATTTTCAACTTGTTATATTGATAACATTTAGAGGACTTCTTTCTCTGAAACGCATGCTTCATATTCATGTTTCTGTCTTGAAGTAATTAAACTGTTTTAAATGAATTAAATGAATGTTCATTTATTTAATGATTTCCGTTTTGCTTTGTCCAAACGGATTCCAAATAATTTGTTAAGCCGCAATCAATCGAAATGCTGGACATGCCATTCTCGTGAAATATGCACATGGCTTTGGGGGCTCTCTCAGTGTGCTAATTAAACCTAGTCAGTGCCAAAATCTCAATTCCCTCCTTAACGGCAGAGCTGGACACATGCCAATCGAGAGACTGGGGCGATCCGATGACTGCGGCTGATCTCGCAACCGAAAAAATCAAATCAAATCGAAAATGTCCAAAAAAATATTTTGCAATTTGCAAAAGAAACAAATGCATGGCAAGGCAATTGCAATTGGGAAAATTGAATTGTACGGTGCAAATGGTCGGCATCCTGCCAGACCCGTTTCCATCTCGAAATCGAGATTGGACACACTAGAGTGCCAAGATGGACGGCACGAAACGGAGCAGACCTGAGCAGAGCCAGGCTACTGGTCTTAAGCAAAGCCATCAATCTCCAAAAAGTTTTCGCCGGGCTCCAGACAAGCATTCGCTGTCATATGCGCGGTACAAATGTGCCTCGGTGTCTATCTGTCTGCCTAATTTTGGACAGCAAGGTGTATTTTGCCATTACCATTTGACAACTGTCACAACGCTGTATGACATGGTCTGGGATTTGGTTTCTGCTGGGACTTTGACTGGGGGCCTCCGTTCGTTGTCCAATTAATTTTTGCGACTCCTTAATTTTTTTTCTTTTGCTGCTCCCGTAGATTTCCTCTGGGCCGGTCGGGCCTGGCCGGGCAAAGCTCGCGTAATAATTTTGTAGGCAATTTATTAACTGTTTGGTGTGTTTGCTTAACTCGTTTTATCGATCCGTTTATTAAGCGCTCGACTGATAAAAACGCATTCATATTTCGCTTAAATGCCTTTTTGCAGATAACCAGCCATTTGCCGCCCCTGTTGCGTGCCCTCCTCCTGCTGCTGGCCCTGGCCTGCCTGGGGACACGGCCCGCTCCCGTGAACGCAATCCGGGGCGGGGCACCTGTTGTGGTCGCCGACGACGATGATGAAACCATGGAGTATGCTCCGCAATATGTAAGTGAACACACAGCAGCCCCCGAGGAAATATTACGCATGTGTATCCATTGAGCATACTAAATGTGTGTCAGGAATATCTGTTCATATTCACACAGGTACGGTGGCTCAAAGTTTGAGAAAGAGTGCACAAAATGAGAGGCTGGGCTTCGATTTATGGCGAAATAGGAGAGAATTAACTAAATGAACGTTTTAAAACCCCAAAAGTATTGCCATTCCCACAAATCGCCATTGATTAAAGAACTTTAATCCGTACGCTGCATTCCGCTCTTTCAATCAGCAACGAAAAAATGATCGCCTAACGACTTTTGAATCGAATAAATCATGACAGCTCACAGTTAATTAAATATTTGATCAATCTATCGGAAAATGGACCGGACGAACCACGATTAATACATCAAAAGCGATCCATAAATACCTTTGCTAATCTTTGGATCATGGAAAACGCATTTTCCGTCATTGAAAGTGAATGTTGTTCCATGCGTACCTCGAATGCGAAATGTTCAATATCTTTCTCGATGCCGCCCACATAAATCAACTTGTTGGCCGTCCGACTCTGACTCCGACCCCGACCATTGTCTTTTCTGGGAGGGACAGTGAGGGGGGAGACAGGTGGGGCGGTAGCCGAAAATGCGTTTTGCGTGCACACACGATCGTTGAATTCGACAGCCCGGGGGCGCCATATAAGGCCTGCTGCTGCACCTACGATCTCGATCGAGATCTCTGCCCCTCCGTCTCCAATCCAGCAACGAAGCGAAAGGAGGCCCCGTGGCAAGATTGAATTCTTTTCTTTTGTAACTGTTCAGGCTGTGACAAGGTGCGTTTTCGTTTTGCGAACAACAGCAACAAAAATGCTAAAATGTTTTCCATGCTGTCTGTCTGTTTGTCTGTCGCGCCGATGGGGTAAACGCCTTTGGAACTGTCGGGATTGTCAGAAATTTATTTTTGATTTGCCTGTTACCTGTTGCTCCCACGATCTGTCGTGCGATTTGTTGTCAAAATGTTGACAACGCTGCGTATGCGTAATTTGCATGTAATTGTGGATTGATATTGCACATACGCCCAGTCGGACAAACCATATATATTTTTGCACATATATCTCATAAATTTATGAGTTAGAGTTCACACGCACCCACAAAAAAGAGCAGGCAATTGACCACCAACTGGGGAGTGGAACTACATACAGTGCGCGGTGCTAGCTACTCGCAATGATCTCCTGGGTGGCCCCGCTGCTCCGACTTATGCAACTCTTATTAAAAACTCTATATATATGTATATATCTTAGCGTATATACAGCTGACTGACTGCTCAGGTTACACTCGCTTGTAATCATTTGTTTTGTCCGGACAGCGACAGGGGCCAGAGAGTTAAAATTGATAGGCAGCGAACAACTGCAGCCAGCAGCAGCAGACAGCAGGCAGCAGGCAGCCCCAGCATCGCGGCTGCATTTGTATGCGTTTTGTGCGTGGCCATTTATGGACGTCTGCGCTTAATTGAAGCCAGCGCCAAAGCATGCGAAAAACTTTTGCAATTTGCCTTAAAAACCAAAAGGTGCCAAAAAAGAAGGGGAAAACACAGAGAGACAGACACACACTACACTCACTGCTCGGAGAAGGAGAGAAACATACAGCCGACTTGTCCGAAATGACAACGAATGCTCTACATTTTTATATTAATTGAATTTATGTAAATTTTTGTTACGGCTATTTAGTTGCTCGCTTTATGGGGTTAATGCGTGGTGAGCTGCCCATAAATAACAATCTAAAATGTCATTTAAGATTCTTTGAAAGCCATTTGCGTTTAGACACAGTAATTAGTGCACTGATATGATTACAACTTTATTTAAATATTCTGATGTGGATTTTGAAGTTGATTTTCTAACAAATCAAAGATTTCTAGATCCGTTTCGACGAGGTCCAACTAAAGGCGCTTTGCTTTCAACGGCGGCTTCAGATCAAAAGAACACCCAATCCCCCAAGTTACCAGAGTGCCGAACACCCAACCCAACCCAATGCCTCTCCTTCAGTGGCTCTCAAACTGTGCACAGCGCGATTTTTGCCTTGACACAAAAAAGTTGCATTTGTTTCATTTCATTTTTTCGTTGGCTTGGAATTTTTTCTTTTTTTGTCATGAAAACTTTGACATAGCCATTGGGGTCTAGCTGTACAATTTTCGAGGTGCGGTTTGAGCCATGGGAGCGTGTCTTTCAGTGCGTTATGGGCAACGACTGCTTAATAAGAAATGTCTTCGTTTTCTTGTCTCCCTCAGGAACATCCGGGATATGCGTTTAGCTATGGAGTCAAGGATCTGCACACGGGCGATGTAAAGTCACAGTGGGAATCACGCGATCAGGACGGTGTCAAGGGACACTATAGTATCCTCGAACCGGATGGCTCCATACGCACCGTTCACTACACGGCCGATGCCAAGAAGGGCTTCAATGCCATTGTCAAGACGGTGGGCGCCAATTCCCATCCCATCACGGAGGAGACGCCGGAGGGCAGCAATCAAGTGAACGACGACACCAGCCAGTCGAAGATCAATCACTACAGCAAGGACCAGGAGCACATCGTTCTCAGTTCGGACATCAAGCAGCAGAAGCGGCCCATTGAAGATCTCACCCACTCACACCCGAAAATTCCCAGCCTGGTGGAGATCAAGCCCCATGCCCGCATCAAGCAGGTGCCCATGGAGCTGGAGCCGGGCATTCGCGATCGACTGCAACAGGCCCGTGACAACTACTACAAAGAGATCGCTGCCGTTCACAAGCTGGAGAATGAGTACGCACAAAAGCAGGAGAGTGACTATGCGCAGAAGTTGCAGCCCAGCTATCCAGTGCAAGAGGGCGATTGGAAGGCGGTGATAGTCAATGAACCCAAGGAGTATCGTCCACACTACACCACCAGCTCTCCCCAGCACCAGCACCAGCTACAGTCGCAGCACCAGCACCAGCATCCGTACTACGATTACTACAAGCCCAAGGAGGTGCCCCACAACTATATTCACAAGGCATCGCCGCCACAGCAGGCACTGCACACCAGCTACTCACCCTCAAAGCCGCGCCAGAGCCTCCCGGAGCCCATCTCCAACCACATCCATCAAAAGAAGGTGGTGCACACCACGCCCGGCCTGAAGCACTACAAGTACAAGGGCGTGGCAAAGACGTACGTGCGCCCCGAATACTCCAGCTACTTCCAGCGCAAGCCGAAGAAGCTGAGGCCGCATCCACAGGCAGGTCTGGGCCCCAAGCAGCGTAACCAGCGGCCGCAGCAGGCGGGTCCCGTCCTCTTTCCCGAACTGCTAGATGACGAGTTCGAGGATTTCGCGGAGGAGGTTGACGATGATGAGCAGGGCGTCGCATCGGCCAGCCTCGTGCAGAGCATGGTGCGGAAGGACAAGAAGCATATGGTGCCCATGTATGCGGGAGGGCACAGCTTCAAGGCGGCCAGCAGCCACCGAGATTTGCGTGGAGTGTAGATCTTAGATCTTTTGTAGTGTTTCCTTCTTTATTTATTTTTTGTTCGACCTAATTTATTGTTACGTTTAGTTGTTGTGTTTTAAATAAATGAATTTGTCTCTAAATGAACGCTCCCCGAAATGGAAACCAAGTCCCCGATTTTCAGCAGCTGCACTTGCGGGGATTTTACATCATAAATCATAGGAGTCAGGCCAAACAATTATATTGAACAATACGCAAGAAATTCGTGGGCTGACAGGAAATTGCTAACAAGCAAAGCAGCGATCTCTGACTTCTGATCTCTGTCTCTCGCAGTGGGGCCCAACCTCCAATTGAGTTTTCTGATTATGCCATGCGGCGGCATGGCAACGCCATCCAACAACGAAAGCGACAACCATAAATTAACACCAATTCGCATTAATTATTCCAAGTTGGCGGCACAACTACAAAATAGCCACAAAAGAGTCCACGAATTAAGCGAGGGAATACCCTAACCTAGAGCTGGGAAAGCAGTGCGTTAGAACTAGATCATGGATCAATCATTGCATAGTCAAAGGGAAAGTTCAGTGATCAAATAAATGATCTATTAAAAAAGAATTCACATACTTACTACAGCTTTTCCCCACTTCCCCTATATATGCATAATACCTCTGTTAAGTAAGAGCAAGACTGAAGTAGTAGCTCTGAAATGCATTCAATATGACAGCAAATTATGCCGAATGCAATATGCCCGTGCCATGCAGGCATTTCGGAGAATTGTCTCACATTTGTTTAGCCAGCTAATTGCTCTTGGCCAACGTTCTCTGCGCAGGCATCCTTAAAAGGTGTGCGTGTCAGCGGGGCAGCTTTTCCACTGAGTGCCACTCAAAACGGATCGCATCGGATCGGATCGACATCGGTTTGGCTTGGCTTGGCCAACTACTGCAGTAAGCCGCAAACCGGATCTAACTCTCAAGAGTCAACCAGATATGAGTGCAGTGCAGCTGTGAGTCATAACTACATACGTTCAATGTCGGCATATCGGAGGCGGCGCCTAATCTAGAAGATTGTAAATTATTTAATTGGGAGCGTTTGCGTTGCCAACGCCTCTGCACACACCGATGCACTCTGCTCGAGCGAATCAATCTGAGAATTTTCTGCACTCTAGCGATTGTCAGACATTTCTCACGCGACCATAAAATGCGCAAAAGTAAGTTGTGATCGCCGTCTATGAGCATCCATTTGGAATCGGCTAAGTTTTTATTGGATTCACAGTCGAAGTATGAGAAACTGGTTCGCCTAGAATGCAACGGCAATGTGGGAGCAATTTGCATATAAGCAATCAATTTTTTGTTTCTCCCTCTTCATTTGACACTTTGCTCCCTGTAACGCACTCGATGGAGCCAGCCCCACCAGTCACACAGTCAGAGTCCATGCCAAGACTTCAATTTATGCAACAAAATTGCAAGAAAATCTAAGTCAAATCCAAGTCAATGCCATACGCAAACACACAAAAATATTGAGTTGACAAAAAAGTGCCAGTACGAGTACGAGTACCCCCAGTAATTAGAATACTTGATCTCTGGTCGAACTAGTTATGGCAGAGATTAGCTAAATTGGATTAGCCGCGACGACTATCTGGCGACTATCCGCAGGTGGGAACAAGTGCAGCACAGAGCACTCATTGAGAATGCCGAAACGAATGCCTAATCTGTGTTAATTATGACAAATGTATGTGACACTCGAGACTAACTGAAAGTATGTTGCGGGGTTGACGTCAAGAGTTTCGCTTTTAGAGTTCTAAGGGAGTTCCATGGCAACAAAAATAAATGGTCTACAGAGTGATTATAATTTATAGAAATAATTATTGCATGCTTTAAGTAGACATAGAACCTCTTTTTATTTTAAATTCCGAATAAACACAAAATTGTCGAATTTCCCGCAGCGCAAGGAATTAGCCAACTGGCAGAAGTTGCTGCCTGCGTTTTGTTCTTCTCTGTTTACTCGGCGGCTTCACTTCAGCGACTTCATGTTCTCCTCACACTTTCGATAGGCCACTCCAATGCCAAATCCTGCTCCAATCCAGACAGGCCAGCGACGACGACGCATGAACAAAAGGGCGACTGTGGCACCCATCGCAATGCCTCCAGCAGTCTTAACAAGGCCATCCGTAACGCAACGATTAATGTTTTCAAGATAACGATTCTCAGACGAAGAAGACATCTTTCTGGTGTTTTTCTAAGATAATGGAAAAGTACAAATTTTGGCAGTAGCTCCTCTCAAATTCAATGAATTGTAACTAAAAATTCCCTGAAAGTGATCTAAAAACAAAATGCTCCTTTAAGGACTGAGAAATATGCATAAAATGTACTGCAATTTGTGTAAAAATAATAAATATTAATTGAAAAATCCTTGTCACTGAGTAAAACGAACCAAACCAACAGAAATGTTATATTTAATTAATAAGCTTGTCAGCTGGGCCAATTGCCATCGGTGGTATCCACCTTAGCTGTCATCGTCCCTCAATCGCTGTGACCGCATTTAATTAGCTGTCTACAAAGTCTGGGAGTCTGAGGTCTGCCACATGTTTGGTGGCACCTCTCAAACTGCCATCGCTGCCACATTGTCCCTGACTTGCGGGGTCTGCTCTGACACCGCATGCCGGGCAAAACGCATACCGCAACTCAAGCGCAACTCCTGGTATAGTTCGGATAGTCAGATGTAAAATTCAGGCGAAGCTTTATCCAAAATAAATCCGGCCATAAGCGGGCTGGCTGGCTGGAAAATTGATTGAGCAGCACACGCGTTGACGTTTCAATTAGAAGCCCAGACGCAACAGAAAAAATAAATGAAAAATCATACAAAAAGTGTAGAAAAAACCAAAACCAAAACCCAGACCCAAGACACGCAATCGCCTCCAAAGTGCAATTGGAAAAGAATGCCGAACCAGATCGAGAGCTAGTGCCACAAGATAAACCTTGTGAAGCAATTAAGTTCGCTGGACAGTGGCGGCACGCGGCGATTGGTATCGGAGCATCGGCAAAATCGCCGAAATTGTGAGTGAGAGAGTGAAAGGCTGTCGAGGAGAAGACATGGATGGTGTCCTACTCCTTCCTTCAAAGATTTTCGATACTTTTTTCCAAGTGAACCGCTGCCGCCGCTGCTGTTAATTGAACATGAAACATGTTTTGGGGCTGTCGGCCCCAGCTTTTCTTTTTCTGTATGCGGGGTGTGCTGTATGCTGTTTCTTTTGAGCTGTTACTCGCAACAGTTTTCGCAATTTGATTGAATTTTAATTTTTCAACATTTGCAAATGCAAAGACATAGCCGAAAATCGAGTGACCAGTCAGCTGCGCTCCGATTTTAACCTACTTCAGAGGCATTGCTGGACGAGTTTACTTTAGTTTAGGCCACGCTTTTGTCACACACACGCACAGATCGGCAACTGCAACTTCCACTTCGACTGCGACTTCGACTGCGACTGCAAAGGGGTTGCGTAAGATTTTGGTGGAACGAGAGAGCAGGAGATTTTATAGAGTCACAGATCTACTATACAGCTGCCCATGGTGCTGGCTCACGACCATGCCTACTTAACATCATGACGAAATACATCGCCCAAACATCGCCACAACACTCCTCCGCCTTCTCTGCTCCCTTTCCTTTCGGTTTTTAATTGAAAAATCTTGATTTTTGCTCGAGCTGTAGCCGTGTGCCGTAAGCCGGATCATTTACATATAACTTTATACGCATACGAGTATATCAGCGAATCCTACTATATCTAGATGGTTTGTCGTTCATTCAATATCGCAAATGGGCCGGACCAAAAGCCAACACCAGATCGTGTCGTATAGAGCCGTTGCGCTGCGCAAACATTTCAAAATTTGCCAAACATATTTATAAAATTGCTGATTTTATGTTTCTTGCTCTCGAATCTGCAAACTCAAATCTGGACTAAGAATTCTACATACAAATTCTACCACTTACGATTGGAGAAATAAATAAACTAAAAACCAGTTTAGTTAGAGTGCAAATATCGCTGCGAATATTGCGTGTATTCTCGTAAAAAGTCGCACAATATTTTGAGAAAGGCCGTTGGGGCTGGGCTGGGCCAAAGACTGCGACTGCGACTGCGACTGTGACTGGGTGTGTGTGCACAACATGGCGTATGCGTGCTGCCAGCGGGGCATTCACATGGCAGTAGCAGTAGCCGCTGCAGGATTATCGAGAGCTGAAACTGAAACTGGAGCTTAAAATTATGACTTTAGGTAGCTTATGGCCCGTGTTTATATGAGTGGAAATGCATTTTCCGTACCTCATGGGAAATTTATGCAGCCTATACGCTAGTGGGCGCTGGCTATGGCTTGTTTTATGTTGTCTTTGCCTTTGGCAAACACTGTGAAAGAAGTGGCACAGTTTGGGTTTGTTTCTGGTTATATAAGATGCCAGAAGAAAGATGAGATATGCAATCAATGCATTTTAATTGCTTTATGGCCACAGGATTGATTGTTGGAAAGGATAGCTAGCCAATATTTTCTTCCCATGAGAAACTGCAACGCAATTCCTTGCCCCATTAATACCCCTCAAGATTTAAGTGTCCAGTTAACAGATATAAACCATTAGGAGCCACACACAGACACACACACACAAGCACCCGCAAAAGGTGACACTGGGTGCCATAGTGACCCTAATTGCCAACAAGTCAACACTTTGGCCATATCTCCCAGCTATTCTATTAGTTATATATTGTCAAATATTATGTGGCAATGCGCCTTAGAGCCAACTAATGCACAACCAAGGCCCAAGGCACAGTCCGACAAACCGACAGACACACGCATGATTGCACTCCATCCACTCCACAGGACAAGAAAATTTATTGATAGCGACATTAATACCACAATTCTTGTTTTATTTCTCAGATACTCGCACTATTCACTGCTCTCTATTTTTGTGTGTTGTGTTGCTGTGCTGTGCTGTGTGTGCTTTTTTTTTTGCGCCCGGACTGGGGGTCTTGCAAATTGCGTATGCATTTATTTTTGCGAGAGCTACACGCAATGGCCGCGATTAAAATCTAAATCAAATTAAGTCGCTTTAAAAGCATACGAGTATGCAAACAAAAATCAAGCAAAAAAATATCTCAAAAATCAAAAAAAATTGAGCCAAAGGCAACTCGGTGCAACAATGCACCACGCGCGATTTCTGAGCGGGGCTCTGTGTGTGAGTTGGAGCGGAGTGTGTGTGTGTGTGTGTGTTAGTTTTTTGTTTGATTTGTTTGAGCCGAGGCGTTTGACGAGAGTATGATCTAATAAAACGTTACCAACTGTATGTGTGCGGCTGTGTGCTGGGCGAACCAGCGAAGGTGGGGCCGGGCCCAACAATTGGCTTGGCCAGGCAGGTTGCAGGTTGCAGTTGTGCAGTTTGCGAGAGAACTCCGAGACAAAGCTGCCTCCAAACGAGAGCTGCAGTCGTTGCGGCAGTCATCAATTCTTCATCTGCACGCGCTAAAGTCGCAGCGCACCCGACTTGGCCTGGCCCGATCCGATACGATACGATTCGATTCGACTCTTTCCTTGCAGCTAGATCTATTTTTTTCTGCTATAAATATAGTTTTGTTTTTGTTTTTGTTTTTGCTTGTCGCTTTGTCGCCAAACTGGTGCGTGGCTGCGGCGCGCATGCGTGCGAGCTTTTTGTGCGAGTATTGGCCAACTGACCGAACGTATATAAGCGATTATAGGGCCGGGCTGGCCAACAGTCCAGTCCAGTCGGCCGCGCTGCCTTGCTCCACATCCCCGAATCGTTCCGAGCGTACCGAGCGTTCCGTTGCGTATCAGTCCGTTTCGTGTCGCGGGTCTACATCGAGTCCGTGGCGTGTTCTCGAGACTCCTATTGAGTCTCCCCTCCGCGTGTGTGTTTGTGTGTGGCAGTACATTTCGATCTGACCAAAGGATCATTTAAAGGATTGCAAGCTTATAAATTCTTTTTTGAAAAGTGCAAATGTTGTGTCATTGACAAAAGGATCCACACAGTTTTTTCTTCGATAATCCAGATCCAACGTTTTTATTAGTGGAAATATGAAGGTGGGTCCTTGGTCGAATATAAGATATGGATTGACATACTATGTATATCAAAAGGATAATACAATACTGATAAATGATTGATGAAATTTTGTACTGGAATTAACAATTCTCAACTCAAAACAAATTGAAATTAAAAAGGATACATGTTATTAAACATTTAAATACTTCAAATGCAAAATTTGGGTGCACTTTCAACAGATTTAAATGTATTATTCGATTTGTTGCTATTTACTGCAATTGAAAAATTATAGAAATTATGCTAAAATATGCTGTTTGAAGTATGTTTTAAAGATCCTTGGGCTGCCTAAAAAATATGAGCAAATTTAATGATTTTTTAACTAAACCCAAACAAGTAAATTTACATTAAATGGTGGAATGTTCCGAGAGCACAACAACAAAATTGAAAACAATTCATATTATCCTACATATTGTTCTCGTATCCCTTTGAATATCCTTTTTCTGCTAAACTCATAAAGTGACGAGATTTTAAAATAATTTGCATGATTCTATGAACTATACTAACTTTCTTCTACCCACTTTCTTTACCTCGCTTTGCAGTTCCATCTGATAGCATTATTGGGCTTACTCGGCTCCGTGCTGGCCGATCCCTCAGCCCTGCCCTCACCCACACTGGCACCACCGCTGCCGCCCTGTGTGCATGCTGCCACCTCCGGCTATGCCTATCCACCGCCGGCCGAGGTGAAGTTCTCCATATCGCCGGGCGTGACCAAGTACAGCCAGTCGCCGGCGATTTCCACGTACTCCGAGAACGGCAAGCTTCTGCACACATCGATCGGCAGTTCGGGCTCCTCCTACGAGTCCAGCGCGGGACTTGTGGGCCTGTCGCATGGCGGCCTCACCCAAATCGACAAGTACATAGCCCCAGTGCAGAAAACTTTGTTCTCGCCATCGGGAGAGTACGGAGGAGCAGGAATCACCTATGCGGAAAAGTCACCAGCGGCCAAGTATGCGACTGTGGTGCCATCGGGCATCGAGATTAAGAATCTGGTGTCTCCAGCACTGACCAAAACACTGCTGACGGCCCCCAGGCTGGATCATAGCTACCTGCCGCCATCTCCCGGTCTGAGCAAGGTGGCCACGTACACCTCTCCCGGATACAGCTACAGCTCGGCGACTCCCGGCATCTCGAAGGTAGCCACCTACTCGTCCCCGGGTCCGTCCAGCGTGCCCTACTATGCACCACCAGTGTCTAGCAAAGTGGATACGTACAGTTCGCAGGCATATAGCTATTCAAAGGCCAGTCCGGGCTACTCCAAAGTGGAGTCCTACAGCTCACCCGGCTACAGTTACGGCCATCTCTCGCCCGGTCTCTCTAAGATTGCAACCTACTCGCCCTCCGTCTCCTACGCAGCCCCGGCAGTAGCCAAGGTCTCGGCCTACGTCGCCCCAGCTGTTAAGCTGGCAACCACCTCATCCCTGCTGTCATCGCATGGCACGGGCTATTCCGCCAGCTATGCGCCAGCCCTCACCAAGTACAGCCAGGCGGCGGATGTTTCGCACCAGTTCATCTCCAAGCCCATCAGTGCCGCCTATCCGGCAGCTGCTCCAGCCATTGCCACTTATGCCCCTGCTCCGACAGTCACCAAGATCATCGGCAGCTATGGCGGATCCGCATCTGGTGGTGCTCTTTCGCATCAGTACGTGTCCAAGCCAGCAGTGGCCACCTACTCCTCAGCTCCTGCCATCGCCAAGGTTGCCACGTATGCTGCTCCAGCCTTAGCCACGTACTCCTCAGGCCCGGCCATTACCAAGCTCTCGACCAGCTACGGAGCAAGTGGTTCCGGTGGCATTTCCCATCAATACGCTTCAGCACCTGCCTATGCCTCCCCGTCCATTGGCACGTACTCTGCGGCTGGCCACGGAGCCGTATCCCATCAGTATGTGTCCAAGCCAGCGGTCGGCACTTACTCGTCCGCTCCGGCAATTGCAAAGGTTGCGACCTACGCAGCTCCGGCAGTTGCTAGCTATGCGTCTGCCCCTGCCATCACCAAGCTATCTTCGACCAGCTATGGAGGCAGCGGTTCGGGAGCCGTTTCCCATCAATATGTGTCCAAGCCGGCTGTGGCTACCTACTCCTCGGGTCCTGCCTATGCTGCTCCTGCCGTTTCTAAGGTGGCCTACGCTGCTCCGGTTGTTTCAAGCTATTCCTCCGGTCCGGTCGTGACCAAAGTGTCGACTGGCTATGGCAGTCATGGTGCAAGCTATGGTGCAAGCGGCTCGGGAGCAATTTCCCATCAGTATGTCTCTAAGCCGGCGGTGGCCACATACTCCTCGGGTCCTGCCATAGCCAAGGTAGCAACCTACGCGGCTCCTGCCCTCTCAAAGGTGGCCACATATGCTGCTCCTTCTATTGCCACCTATTCCTCAGGCCCCGCCCTCTCAAAAGTGGCAACCTACAGCCAGGCGGCAGATGTTTCCCACCAGTACATCTCGAAACCCATTGTGGCTGCCTATCCGGCTGCAGCTCCGGCGATTGCCACATACTCTGCAGCGCCAGCAGTCACGAAGATCGTCGGCAGCTATGGCGGATCTGCATCCGGTGGTGCTGTTTCCCATCAGTACGTGTCCAAGCCAGCGCTTGTTGCTGCTCCTGCGGTGGCTAAGGTGGCCACATATGCTGCCCCTGCCGTTGCCACCTACTCGTCTGCACCAGTGGTAACCAAAGTCTCCACTGGCTATGGCGGAGGAGGAAGTTATGGGAGCTACGCTGGCAGCCATTCAGGTGGAGCCGTATCCCATCAGTACGTGTCCAAGCCCGCAGTGGCAACCTATTCCTCTGGTCCTGCCATTGCCAAGATATCAACGTACGCTTCTCCCACCATTTCAACTTACTCCTCGGCTCCCACCCTCACCAAGATTGCCACCAGCTACGGCAGCAGCGGACACGGCGCCAGCTATGCTCCGGCTCTGTCCAAGACTTATCTGCCAGCTGATCCCGTTGCCACGGTTTCCAGCTATTCCTCAGGTCACGGCGGAAGCTATGGAGGAAGCGGCTCGGGAGCTGTCTCACATCAGTACGTATCGAAGCCAGCGATTGCCACAATCTCAGCTGCTCCGGCAATTGCCAAGGTGGCCACCTATGCTGCTCCGGCTGTTGCCACCTACGCTACGGCTCCTGTGGTAACCAAAGTGTCCACTGGCTATGGCGGAGGAGGAAGCTATGGCAGCTATGAAGGAGGCCATTCTGGTGGCGCCGTATCCCATCAGTACGTGTCCAAACCCGCAGTAGCCACATACTCCACTGGTCCAGCCATCGCCAAGGTAGCATCCTACGCAGCACCCAGCCTCACCAAGATTTCCACCAGCTACGGCAGCAGCGGCCACGGAGCCAGCTATGCTCCTGCACTGTCCAAAACCTATCTGCCAGCTGCTCCGGCCCTCTCTGTGCCAGCACTGTCCAAGACCTATCTGCCAGCTGCTCCGGTTGCAGCGGTTTCCAGCTATTCCTCAGGTCACGGCGGAAGCTATTCAGGAAGCGGCTCAGGAGCCGTCTCCCATCAGTACGTGTCCAAGCCCACGCTTGTTGCTGGTCCTGCCATAGCAAAGGTGGCCAGCTATGCCGCGCCAGCTGTGAGCCACATCTCCACGGGTCCAGCACTGGTCAAGGTTGGCTCTCCCCATGGCCTGGGCTTGGGTGTGGGCTACTCTGCTAGCGGACATGGCGCTGTGTCCACCCAATACGTATCCAAGCCTGCAGGAGCTGCTCTTCTGGGTGCTCCCTTGACCTCTGGTCCGGCCTACGCTCTGGGTGGAAAGCTGGCCAGCAGCACAGCTTACGGCATAAGTGCGGGTAAGTGGATTGATTGGCTGGGCAACTCGCAAGGAAGACTAACTTCCACACTATTTTCCAGGCAAACTAGGACTCGGCTCGGGTCATGATGGTAGCTACTATGGAGCCATCTCCTTGGGTCACGCAGGCGTCTCCCCGGCCCTTAACTATCAGGGACTTCTCACGCATGGCGGTAGTCTGTCCCATGGTGGTCTCGCTCATGGTGGACTCTCCCATGGCGGTATTTCCCTAGGTGGCTTGGCTCACGGCGGTCTGTCGTACGCTCCAATCACATACTCCCATTTGGACTCCTCGTTGAGTGGCTATGACCATGGCGTGGGTGGAATTGGACCTTTGGGTGCCGGTTTCTATCGCTATGCTCCAAGTGTGCCCACGTTGAGTGCACATGCCCCACTGCCGGCCACCGCGTATCTGAAGTCGGCGCCCGTGGCCCAGCCAGCCCTGCTCAAGGTGGTGCCGGAGAAGCATCTGGAACACTTTGTAAGTCCAACAGATTCCCACATTGAAGTTGCCCCACCAATGTCATTCTATCTTCTCTCATTCCAGGATGCACATCCTCGCTATGCCTTTGAGTATGCCGTGAACGATCCACATACGGGCGACAATAAGCATCAGCGCGAGGAGCGTGATGGGGACGTAGTCAAGGGCGAGTATTCCTTGGTGGAACCCGATGGCAATGTGCGCACAGTCAAGTACTATGCCGACTGGGAAACGGGCTTCCATGCCGAGGTCATCAACAGTCGCGATCAGGGCAAAATTGTGGCCATGCGTCAGACGGCAGCCAAGTCGTGAGGTGAGCTTCCCCTATCCATATACAACCCACCACTAACGTCTCTACCGTCCACAGCTCTACCCCAGTCACAATATTGTTTTGTTCGTTCAGCAACTGTAAATAGCCTCAAATTCAATCTTCTTCTCATTAAACATTAAACGTATTTATGTAAAACTCCACAACGATAACGATAAACCACAACCACGATGTCACACGGCCCGCCATTTCTTGCCATTCTTGCCATTATCTCTATATATCCATTTCCTGTCTAATTACTGATACCTGATCCTGATCCCTGTGCTCATGTGATAGGCGTTTCGTATTTTATTGAACTGCTTGCGCTGCTCTCTCAACCCTGAATGCGCGTTTCTTATGCCTAACTATTTGTACATACCTAAACGGATTGATTGTATATTGATACAGATATATATATTGTAAAATGTTGACTTCAAATAAACAAGATTTAAGAACGCCACAGTCGAGAGTGAGTGCTCGACAATGAGATTTAAATTGAATTCGTGACTCTAAACACCATTGATGGAGGGAAGGGTTACCAGGTCATACAATTAAGAATATTATTATATCAGTACAAGGTCATACAGCGATCATTTGCGGCGGCCAGTAGGAAGATATCATCCTATCTCAGTGATTAAATGGTGGCGTAGTGTGCATAAATATTTACAAATGTACGTATATTCAAGTTTAAATACATGTAGAAAAGATTATGAGATCTGAATAAAGCGTGCAGAACTATGTCACTAACCTTTTGGGCAATATTATCATGCCATTACGCCTCTCCCACACACATAAGAAGCCGACGATTATGTGGTTACGTCGGAAGAAGAAACGGGATCGTGAGCCTACGTAACCGCGCGACGCTTCGAGTAAACGATTTACGATTTTACGATATTATTTACGATATTATTATAAAATGAGGCCTAACAGGGCTGCAGTTCAAGCACACACACCAGCGAGAGAGAGGCAGATCACCAAGATGACACACTTTTTTTACAAGACAGCGTTGGCACTCGCTTCGGTTTCTTTGCTTCCTATAGTGGGACAAAGAAAAGGGACAAAAAAAAGGGAAACAAACACATAACTTTTTTTAATTTTTTGCAAAAAAAAAAAACTTAATAGGATCTATGCATGCAAGAATATGGCTCTCAAGTTGTAACACTTTGCACATCACATTTTCCTTATTTTGCCTTTGCCGCTATGCCTTCTGTAAGCCATTTTACCGACGGCAGCCGCCACTCTGGAGCAGAACCTTTTTCTTTCACTTTTTGGGCTTTTTTCTTTTAAAAAAATTGCCCCACTTTAACCAATATACTTTTCACTTATTGCCAATTTTTATGATGCTGCTCTGCCTTATTTATGCCATTTGGATGAGAGCTGCCTCCGTTCTGGATCTGGAACTTTTTCATGCACTTTCTGCACCTTTTTCTTTATACTGCAACACTCACTTTCACTGCACCACAAAACTGCACCTCCTAATTTAATCTCTGAACTGCACTGCACCACAGCGCGACAATTTAACCAATTTTCACCATTTTCCCGATTTTCGCGAACCAAAACGCGGAGCTGACTTGAAACCACGCGCTTGTGCCGGCCGAAAAATTGAAAGAGTGAGAGCTGCGCAGCTTTGAGTGCGTGGGAAGCTTAGTTTTTAGAATATTCCATGCTCTCTCTCTCTCTCTCTGATGCGCTTACTAATTGCTCTCACATTTGACTTTGACTTTCGTGTTCACCCTCTTTTACCTCAAGAGAGCGAACGTTTGTGAGTTTGATGGATGACGACTTGTTAATGCAACGGTGAATGTCGAGAAGGGGAAAGCTCAGTGCACATGGGTTGATAGGTTGTTGGAGAGGGGAGAGGGAAGCAGCGTGAACCGTAAAGAGAGCTTGGAAGATTGCCTCCTACGCGTTCAAATCTGCGCCGCTCTCACACGTTGTGCGTTTGATGAGTACTAATGCAACGGTGAATAGCCAGAAGGGGAAGAGGGAGGAAGAGGGCAGAGTAAGCAGTGCAGAAAAGAACAATTATGTTCTTCAATTTACGAATGTATGTACATATAACCACTATAAAGGAATACAAAGAGATAGCAAACTCAATGGGATTTCAATTTTTCTAAGTACGAGTACTGTAAATTTTCTTTAATACCGAATAACCACGAAATGAACTATGTATATATAATTGTACAGTTTTGGCATACATAACTGTTTCTTTATGTGTTTATATAAGCAGCGAATCACATATTTACCTTTGTTATGATCAAAATTTAATTGGAATACTAGAGTGTTGTTTGTGTTTGTGTTGTTTTTGTGTGTTTAGAAACTTGGCCCAAATGCTCGACGCATATCCTCGCTTATGAAGAGTCCAAAGTCCGTATCCTTGGCCCGGTAGGGATGCTGTGTGCAATATGTCTGGAAGATATGACGCAGAATGCGGCTGCCCTGCAGCTCGATCTCACTGCGCCTCTGGCTGCCGGCTGGCCCCAGCTCGAGATGCGCCAACAGCCACTGGTTTTTCAGCGATCGCAGATCCTTATCGAGGATCATCAGCTGACTGCTGCTGCTGCTCGCCTGAGGCACATGCAGAGGCTCCAGTGAGGCAAAAGTTTTGCGCATTTCGCTCCCCTGCAGCTGCACCCGCAGCTGCCGCTCCTGTCGCAGGGCGTGGTGCAGAATGTTCAGTTCCCGGTTGCTGCTCAGAGTGGAGCTCGTCACACAGGCACTGTCCGCCTGCTGCTGTTCCCGCCAGTGCTGCTGGGCTTGCTCCAGGCTCGCAATCTTTTCGGCCAGCATGTTGATGGTCTGATTGAGGGCCGCCTCCTTGGAGAGCATGCACTGCTCCAACTGTTCGGCGGCCTCGGCTATGCTGGTGAGCATGTGGCACTGCTTGCTCAGCTGCTTTTCGGCCATCTCCTTGCGTATCTGCAGCTCCGAGTAGTCCTGCTGCTTCATCTTGGCGGTGTACTTGAGGGCCTTAATCTCTTTGTCGCGCTCCCCAACCGTCTGCTCGAAACTCTTTACATCCTCGTAGTGGCGCTTCACCTGAGCGGCCCGCTCCTGCAGCGTATTGGTGGTCGGGTGACGCACATACTCCGTGTTGACATCGGTGGACTCTAGCAGGGCGCAGAGCTCGTCCAGCTGCTCCTCCAGCAGTTGCATGCAACGCTGGCTGTAGGCATCCACTTCCTTCAGTTCATCAGCCTCCTGCGTAGGGGCAAACTTATTGTAGTTGAGCACCAGCATCCGCCAGAGCTTCTCGTGGGCTATTCCCCCATTCGACTCCTTGCTGGCCTCGCGGGCTGTCGCCCCCAGTATGGTGATCAGTGCGCCAAGCGCCTCGTTGGCCTCTAGGATGCGCTGATACCGCGCACACTGCATGCCCGTCCAGGCGGCCGTCTTGCTGCCACTCAGCTTCCGCTGCAGCTTCTTTAGCTTTTGCTTCTGGCTACAACTCTGCTCCATCAGCAGCTGCATGCAATGGAACGAAGCGGTCTGCTCGTGTCCCAGCTGTATGATCGTGTGCATCAGTCCCGCATTGGCATTCACCGCATCCAGTCCCGCCTCGTACACCTCTATCAGTGCCGCATACAGCTGCTGTTCGTGCAGCAACTCCACCAGAGCCTGCGGCGGCATCAGGTTCTGGTGCAATGCATTCACATAGTGCAACACCCTCTGAATGGGTTCGCAGTTGGTGTGCTCATCCAGGTGGCCCGTCTTCAGGAGCCGCACAAACTCATCCAGCTGCTGCTCCTGGATCTCCAGGTCACTGCGGTAGATGGCCGCATGGGTGCACAGCTCGTAGTCGCAATGGTTGAGCCCATGACGGAATTGCTGCAGCACCACCTGAAGGCTCTTCAGCAGATAGATGCACTGCGAGCGGAAGATGAAACGCTGCACGGAGTAACCCTCAAAGATGGCATCGCGACCTGCAGAGGAATATCGATAGATAGACAGTCACTCGAGGGGACAAAGATCGCTCTGGCGAACACTCACCAAACTCACAGGCTGTGGGAAACTTTTCGTTGATGGCCTGGCAGACGATGGTCAGCTTCTCGTTCATTCGTTCCAGCAAGAGCATAACCAGAACGACATCATGCTCACCGCCGCGCAGTAGAAACTGTTCTGGGACAAAGGCCAGAACATGCTCCAAGTGCTGGCCCTGCAATCGCAGTTCCACGGCCTTTATCTGCTGCTCGAGTGCCCGTCCGTAGGCCTTGCTCACGCTGAAGATGTGCTGATAGTCGTTTTGGCTCTGGTTCGAGGCCTCCTCCTGCTGCGACTCGTTGGCGCTGCTAAAGTCCTCGATGGACAGCGTGCCGTCGGCCCTGAGTTGCAGCTGTTCTTGGAGCTGCCGGACCAAATCTCGGAACTTCATGATGGTCACATCTCGATCGTAGAGACTCTCCATGGCGGCGTGCTTTTGCTGGTCGAGAATCTTCACCTGACCGCCCAGCTTGTCGATTTCGTCGCGCAGATCCGTCTCCAGTTCCTGGTTGCTTTCGATGAGCTGTTCCTGGATCTGTTCGAGGGCCTCCAGTTCGTTGACTTCATCCTCCAGCAGCTTGACGCGATCTTCCAGCTCCAACTTGAGGCTGGCCAATTGTGTAACCATCGACTCGGCTCCCAGAGAGGCATCAACCTGCTCTTTCAGGTCCATCAGCTGCACCTCCATGTGGTCAACACGTCGACTCAGCAGCTCCTTGATGCTCTTCAGTTCGTTTATTTCCGAGTGCTTGGTCTCCAGTTCCTTGTGCGAACGCTGCGCCTGCTGCTTCTCCTGGGCGAGGGTATCTCTCAGCCGGACCACAGTCTCGCGCAGACGCTGATTGTATTGCTCCAGGCGCAGAAACTCGCCCGCGGACTGGGGAGTGGCGCCGACTGCTGTCTGTTTCTCAGTCTTCTCGATGCGCTGGCCCTGATGTTCCTCCTGCTCTGCCTTGAGGATCTCCACGTCCAGAGTTAGCTCGTCGTTGCGCTCCTGCGCAATCTCCAGCTCCATTTGCAGTGTCTCCATGCGCTCCTCGGCCATCTCCTTGTCCAGCGTCAGCAGTTCTATGCTCTCGGCCACCTCATCCAGCTCCCGCTTGTACTTGGAGACCGTGTCCTGAGCCTCGCGCAATTCATGTCTCGAGCGCTGCAGTTCCCGCTGGAGCAGCACATGCTGCGTCATAATCTGAGCCTTGAACTCCAACAGCTGCTCGTTCTGTATGCGAGTCCGCTCCAGTTCGAGCAGCCTCAACTTGTCCTCGCTCTTTTGTCCCCTCAGAAGCTGAAGCTCCTCACGCAGCTGTCGCAGCTCCGGATTGTCCACAGGCTGCGACGGCGGCGGTGCCATTGTGCTGGGCGTACGAAGTGCCGGACCCGGGGTGAACTGTGGTCGCAGTATTTCCAGGAAGCCGGGCTCCACAAAGGCAGCAGGAGCCCCCCGCTTCACCGAGCTCGTGGGACAGATACTCGTCTTGCTGCGCTTCGGCGCCAGAGCCAGTG